GTGAACATTTGGGCGGTGTTATGCAAATCTTCCCACATCGTGATGTAGACTCATTTTTTTTTATTTATGTCCCTGTACGCAAACAGGGACACGTCGTAGATTATTGGGAGGAGCTCATTACCATAAAGTTGACCTGATTTCAACTCTCCTCGACACCTCAACGTCCAAGTAGCGCCGTGCCGCTGCTCGACGCCGGCTCACATTGAAAATAAATGACTTCCGGCCACTTTGACGCTCTCGACGGCGGCGGTGTGAACGCACAGTTAGGAATACTGATTGAATCAAGAAAAAGTATACAAAAGCTGTCTCTGGGCCGATATGTGGCTAATATGTACATTTTGGGTACTAATAGGTATCTTTAAGATACTAATATGCATAATTTAGGTGTAAAAAATATAATGAAATCTAGAAAATATAATATAATTTAAAATATAAATCAAAATGATACATTTAGAACAATCACTTTTTGTCAGAATAAGTATGTTGTTTCATTTTACAGTAATATATATGTTACGCTAAATGACTATGGAATATTTCATCCACATTTTGACCTTTTATTTTCACAAAAGTTATTTGAAACAATAAAGTATACACTTTACTTTTATTTGAAGGGTCTGAATACTTAGGATCATGTGATATTTCAGTTTTTCTTTTTTAATAAATCTGCAAAAATGTCAACAATTCTGTGTTTTTCTGTCAATATGGGGTGCTGTGTGTACATTAATGAGGAAAAAAAATTAACTTAAATGATTTTAGCAAATGGCTGCAATATAACAAAGAGTGAAAAATTTAAGGGGGTCTGAATACTTTCCGTACCCACTGTATATAAAATCACTTTTGATGCAGCCACCAAAATGGGATGTCTTGTAGCTACAATATAAAGTTAAACACAAATAATATAATAAAAAAAAGTAAATAAATTTTTTTTCAATATCGTAAAACTTCAAAACTCCTGTTAGGCAAGCAATAGTCTAACATATACATTGTGAAATAGAAGAGATCTATGTATGAGCTACTTCAGATGTCTAATGTTGCATTATGAATTGCAGTATGGCACATTTGAGAATGCATGAAGTGTTTGCATAATAGAGTAAATTTTTTCATGCTTTGTGGTTACTATATCATATCATGCATGCATGCATGCATGCAAAAAAAAAAAACTTCATGTGGAACGTCCCAGACCACTCAGGTTGAAGTTCCAGAATCAACAAAACACTTTTGACTTGAGTATAAGAGAAAAACCCTATAAGAGAAACTTTTGCCCTGCAATTAAAGGGGATTACATTTGCATACACACTTCAAGTTCAAGTGCTGCATATTTGTACTCTCAAAATACCAGCCAAGTGCTCTCTGGCCGATTCTTTTAAGTGGTTTAAGTGTACAAATTGGACTAGTTTAAATATGTTCCAGACACAAAAAAATGCATAATGAGCAATATGCATTCTTTTATAGTCTACTAACTGCATATAGACCTATGCATATTGTTTAAAATGCATTTTTAAGTGTTTGGAAAATAAAATACTCTCATTTTTTTTTTAAGTGGCGTTTATCGGTTTTTGCAAATGAACTCTTCATATATTCCATTTTTAGTTATAGTAATTTTGTTGTGTGTTTTTGGCATTTTTAGTAGTTTAATCATTTTTATATATGTCTGTACAGTTTTTACTCATTTGTATTTCATATTTAGTTATTTTTTGTGCAAGTTAAATTATTTTTTAAATATTTATATACAATTTTATTTGTAATTTTATAATTTATATATTATTACTTTTTTATATGGTTATTGTTTCCGTTTTAGTTAACTATAGTAATCCTGATCATTATTAATTGGTCATCATGGAGCGCTGAACCCTTCCTCTCTTGCATGATTAAAAAAATTAACATGGTTAAGAAATCACTTCCATACTCAATTTTCAGACCTCACCATTAACAGACATTGTTGAAAAATATGTAAAGCTTTAAGTGAATGGCAGAATTTAATCCAAACAATTTGAAAATTGTTTTGGGATGGCTTACAGAGTGTTTTCATCACCCTTTAAGCAAGCTTTTTCTTAAACGCAGAACAGAAACGCCTGGTGTCATGCAGGTTTCTCTCCTGTCTCCTTGCATTAGGATCAGCTCCAGGCTATAACACCTTCGCAGAAAAGAGAAAGATTGCCATCTTAATTTTTTGACAATTTAGAGATTTTAGGTGTAGTTTGTCATTGTGCATCACTTACAGCTGTCTTTATCACCTTTGGCTCTTTAGATTCATGTTTTTACATGTTTTTCTGTAATGTGAAATTGTCAGGAATGCAAAAAGTCTTTTTTTCACTTCCAATAAAATCTTAAATACATCCCAGTTATTTTAATGTTGTGATATTAGTGATATTAGCAATAGCCCTATTATTTATTTATTTATTTATAATAAATATTTCAGATTCTGTTCATTAAAAAAAAAAATTATCATCTATGATGTTATAGATGATAAAAATATGTAATTTCTGATTGTGTTCAAATTGAGAGAAAACAAAATTATCTGATAAAGATCATTAATGAAGTCAGAAACGGACACAAACCAGATTCAAACCTGTGTCTACTGCGCAAGCAACAAGGCTCAATTTAATTGCTTATAGAAACGATTCCTTAACTTTTCTGTTTCAGGGCCATGTTGGTACAACGGCAACCAAAAAAATTGACGTCTACCTCTCAATGCAGTCGACCCAAGAAAAGCTTCACCCCATGACGGTGGTCACGATGGCTAATGCTCGGGTCCACGATCTTATCGGGCTCATCTGCTGGCAGTACACCTGTGAGGGCCGCGAACCCAAGCTCACGTTAGTAGAAAAAAGCTTTTTACACATGGATCCTATATAAGAATTTGATATCTCCACATGTTCTAGTGCATGAAGTGTTAAAGTTAAAGCTGCAGTCCGTAACTTTTTTTTGGTTAAAAATTATCCGAAATCAATATTTGAGCAAGTACGTAGCCAGCCAGTGTTCAAAATAGGGATGTCAATTTCTATGATCGATCGTCGTTTAAATTAACGATCAATTAATCGATTAATCGTTAACCTTAATGCTGCAAAATGCGTCTATGCAGCCCGGCATGACAGGATGTGC